CCCTCTTCGCTCCACGCCGCCGTGACTAATGCTTTGCTACTAATCGCCTTTAAATTAAACTTTTGTATTATTATTGTCTTTTTTGTTTGTAAATAAACAATGACGTATATTAATAGTTCTATACAGTGTCTGTATAAAGGAACAACAACGTCACTAATTTACAAGTACGCTCTTCGCTTTGCATGCTGTATCAATCGCATGTCGACTTGCATTTTAAATAAAGAAATATTTTTCAAATATGCCATTCACGAGGTTAAAAATTATAGTGAAACAAAAATTTTAAGGTAAAGTTAACTTACTATACAGGATCTCTGTACTAGGGCGACAAAAATCCGTGGTAGTAATTTTTAAATGTAGTAATTCATAACTTTTGCAAGTTATTACGATCTGTGTTGTTTAAAATAATATTGTGAATGATAAATGTGTACAAATGTTTATAATAATAATAATAATAATAACGCACACACTCAACATAGCCCCGCACTAGGGAAACCCTGTGTCGCGGGTGCCATGGACACACACATAGACAACCACAAATTACACCCAAACTCACGAGAGAAATAAATGTAGGTCATACAAATATTTCTCCCGGCCCAGGAATCGAACCTGGGGCCTCTGCGTGGCAGTCCGGCGTGGTAACCGTTCGGCCACGGAGGCAGTTTGTTTACGAAAAGCAACCCCTAAAGTTACATGCTCGTTATTCTCAGGAGATAGCTTAAGAACGAACTTAAACACTACTGTTTAATTAAAATGACGACCTCAGTAATTCGCTTACCTATGAAATAAAGATTATGTATAATTTATATATATATTATATTATATCATATACTTACAAACAAAAGATTGTCTTTTCTACACCCACATTCGACAATTATAACACGTATGATATATTTTATTAATACAAAGCACGATCGAATTAGTCGAAATACACAACATCCACTTTCTATTTTCTTGACACGCACTTCTTCTTTTCGATGACATACACTATAAAGCTTGTCATAGTGGTGAAAGAGTTTGCCAATCGGCGTAACGTGTGCTCAGGATGCGCCAGACGTACACGTACAAGAAAGGAATGGTACGTCGTGCGGGGAGGCTTCTTTCATGCACCCCGCACACGTGCTACTCCTTAATTACCAATCTAATATAGCTTAAGTCACATTTAAAATGCACTAACTCTATTTTATGAACATATCATGCAATTTTCTTGTAAATTTTTTTTCTTTTCTTGGTTGTACTTATGCTCTACTAGTTTTGGGATTATAGATTTTCTTTTTGCATATTCCTAAGCTTCTGTGTGGTCTGGATGTAGCCTGATTGGTCAGCAAATAATCAATAACTAATTTTTAATTACAATAATTACAATTACAGTAACTATTTCTCTAGTATTTGGTAATAAAGTTATCATTATAATTATTTCAAGTAAAAAAAAGTTTTTTGGTTTTAGTACTTTATTTCCAGATGGTGCTCATAAACGTCAAACATCAGTAGACACGACTGGCATACAGAATAAAGTTAAGCAAGAGATGAACCAACAAAACGTTTTGCAAATCGTAGTCAATTTCATCGATAAGTTACCAACAATTCAGCGGGGAGTCTCTACACCTGGAGTGCACAACTGGAAATTGGAAACCGTAACTCAACAAGTATTAAGGGGAAGGAAAACTCCGTAGCCGCGCCATCTGTAGGCCTTATCTATGGCTATAAATATTGTGTGGAACCCCGGTACGAAGGAGTACGAATTATAGCTCCAGAGGTACTTTCAGTCTCGCCGAGTAATGGATAATTCATGCACCCTCGCCATGCACTGTTTTCAAATTTTACGGCCGTTTTAGTAATTATTTTTGAAAATTCGTGTCTCTTTATCAACAAATAACGTACAATCCAAATTCTACCACGGAACATATAAATTTACGGCATTAATCGTCAAAGTTAAAACTTAACATAATTAGATGTCGTTGTTGATGTTTGCCATAGTATTGTAGCAGATCTACTAATTGACTTTGAATATCATGAATAACTTATCAGGGAACATCTATTGAAGCAGATTTTGAATGCCAAAGAGAAATGAGACTGTTGTAGCCCAATTGGAAATTCTGTTTGTTCACCTAATTGCATTGTTCATTCAACGTAAATGAAAAGCAAACTTGGTAAATTTCAATGTTTGTTAATTAGCCATTTTAGCCAAGGCCTAAAATGATAATAGATGTTAACCACGTTTCGCCAGACAGCTGTGACACAAATTGTAACATCTTACGCAAATGCAACATACATTGCGGTTATGCAATCAAGCTTTATTACTATATTTAGAGTGGCATGTGCGTTATCATAGTTATTGCCACCTTTTTTTTCAAATGGCTGTTGTAAAGTTAACGTAAGTACACAAATATCGGCTTAATAGTGACCTCTCAAATTATACTTATTCTACCAAAATAATAACCAAGAAAAAAATTTAGAAGACTCCTATTTACAGAGCAATTTCTATCAATAACAAAAGCGATATCTCCAAGACTTCACTAAGTCATCATTATCTACAAATATAGTGACATTCATTTGTTTTTCGTGTCCCAACCGCTAGCTCTCATCGTGAAAACAACTACAAACATCTCTCTCAATTTTTCTCTGTCTTAAAAGAGCCCCCTTGACTTAAGAGGGCTTCACTTTTGGAAACCGTACTAGCATTAGATGATTAATAAAGAAAAAAAACCTGAAGAATTGTATTACTGATGCCAATGCCTGAAGAGTTAATTTTCACAGTAAGATTATTGTTAAACTAATTAACGTAAAACTCATTGTTACGTAAAGTGATGAATTTGATACTTAATTAAATTATGTTTGCCCTACTTATGTTGAGGTGTTTAGTTCAATAATTCTAGTGAACCCCTTTGTAAGCAAAATCTTTAATACGGATAATAATATCTTTATTATTTTACATAGAAACCATAAATTATAAAGTATATACTAATATAATTTTTAAGTGTACTAATTTGTGTAAGTAAGTAGTTTATCCGTTGTACAGTTAATTACACGTAAAAACGCCGTAATAGTTATGAATATTGAAACGTTCAGTCATCTTAACTTTCCCAAAGTTAAACACTTAAACGTTCAACAGTTGTTTCTTGACAAGAGGCGTCATCTAACACCTGGTGTGGAATGCAATCAAGTTTAATAATTACGGGTATTAATAACAAGGGTGCAGTCGGGGTGTCGGTTGCCATGGCAACACCCTACAGTTTGCAACAAGCTTCAGAGCCTTTGGGGGTACCTGCTGATATGCTCATAGTAGTATGAGCTTAGCCAGTATTGGAGGAGCACTGACAATTACACTGCCCTTGCAGAATGAGTTGATCGATACGCCTGAACAATATAATTCCTGTAAATTGTAGCGTAAGCAGTATCAATACTCCGAGCAGTAACGTAATCTATAACTCAACTCTTCTTTTTGGTTAGATGAAAATAAGTCAAGATTTTGGGGCAACAGTACCAGAATATGATCAAACTGTTAACTTATTACAATGACTCAAGTGTCATCAGTAACATTTGTCCAGGTTATCATACATTTTTTAGGTTATACGGCATTTTTTAGACATTAGCCTCTAACAAAGTTTCCAGAATGTTTTCGTTTGTAATGTATTTCTTACCATTGCCTTTGTGCGAGTGACAGTTGCGAGGCATCCATATAACTCGATTCCCACCGGCTTGTCTAAAATTTTCCACGTATTATCAAATATTATAAATAATTCAAAGTAATTTATTATATTTTGTACTCAATGATACATGTAGAATAAGTAACCAGTGAAATAAAGTGTACTAGAATCTTGTGTGCTAATAAGTGCTATGTTTGATTGTCGCCAAGGCGCCACTTGTTAAGGCAAGTGTTTTTTGTTTTCCTCAGGATTACTAAAGACAATGTTCACGCCTCGCCACTGGTGAGTGAGTAAATTGAATAAATTCAATTTCATTGAATTTAACAGCTTAGATCGAACATGGTAGAAACTGAAATTAATATGGGAAATGATCTTCGAAACAAGAAAGCCTTAACGAACTGTCAGAGATCATTTTAACATGGTACTATAACCCTCAGAGCCTTTGATAACCACGAACATGCTCATATATTTACGAGCAAAGCTGATTAAGGCTTTAATTGTTACAACACTTGTATGACACTTGTCTGCTGAAATCAGATATAATAAAAAAGCTTTTGTCAAAGTTACATTCGTAAGATGTTCTAATACAAATATTTATAATCACTATTATTTTTAGCAAAATTTGAAAAAAAATTATTACCATACTCTTCAAGCCAATATACCAAGATGTTATAAAGAACCGAATTCTCATTTCACTTAGTTAACTCCATTTGTGAGCTCAGCTTTTACCAGCAAAGTTTGTCAAGACAGCTACATAAAACGGGACTAAAAAAACGGTGTTATAGTTGATAATATTCAAGCTGAGAAACGTTATTTGCACGTACGACATTTCAACGACAAAAACACGTACAGTGTTAAACTTTAATTTTGAAAAAGGCAAACAACTCAAGATTTTAATAAAAATTAAATCTTTCCGTAAAATATAAGCAAACAATTCATGTGCAACGATTTACAAGCAATCCACGTTTTTATTATGGAGTAAAACGTTTAATTGCTCGAAAACGAGACGGGGTACTGGGTAATTAATTCTTTTGTACGCGACCATTTGGTAGCTGTAAATGCTATCGTAAAGTCTGCAACAATACACCTGTGTCTGATCTGTACAATGTTATTTGTCACCCTTCTTAGTGTCACAAAACGATAAAGCCGTAGATGGCTATACTATAACATGGTTGGTTTCACCAAAATAAGGGATGAAGCAATATAGTTCCATACACTTAGATACATCAAAAATTATATAGTTTATTGACAAATTTTACACTATGATCATTCGAGACTGCTTAAATTTGTACCACAAGGATTAATGATAAAATCAGACAAGAGAGAGTAAGAAAACAAATGATAAATGCTTAGTATTTTATTATTATGGACTGATTTTGCGAAGTACAAATTATACTTAAAACTTGTTGGAGCAGGAATTAGTTTCCGATTATTACAAAATATTATTCAGCTGTGATATTTAAAGAGGTTATTAAATTGGTTCATTTGGAATACTAAATTGACCACACACAATAAATAGGTATGTTAAAATTGTATAAGGATATCAAATATTGCAAAATATATACAAAACACAATCGAATACCAAATTATACTATATCACAGTCACTATAGAGATGAGAAACCTACGAGATAATATGGCAGTCTATATGAAAACACATTCACAATACTACGACCTCAAATTCCATCTCAAGGTAGATTGTTTGTCGAGCAAATTGTTATATCACATTAACTTATCCATATTTTACTGGCAAGTCAGGTAAATATAATAGGAAGACATAGTTCTAAAGGAATCACGTATGCTTAACATTTCACTGAAAGTACCTCCATAGCTTTTAGATTGTTATTAGGTATAAGTAAAGTTGATAAATGAGAACAATTCTACTCGACAATTATCTTTTCCTCTCCTTTCTATCTATAATAAATATGCAAAAAACTTTAATACATATTTACAATCCACTTAAATGTAATATTGCTTCGGTTACGTACTAGTGATATAAGTTTTGAGTTAATGTCAATATGACAAAAATAAAATTAACTTGGATAAGAATGTCCTGAACAACCTGATGTACCTGAGAGATTGGCGAGCGCACGCATTTCTCGGTAAGGCGATTCTCTGCGAATAATAGACACAAATTGGAAACATGAAACATTGTTGACACTTTTGTACCAACATCAAAAATAAAATAACCTAAATACACCAATTCCCATAAATTTGGACAGTCACCATTATTTTTTTTTTGTCATCAAAACTCTACATCTACAAGAAATAATACTATCGAATTGGGCTGAAAGGACTCACTTACCTTTCATACGGCGGAGGTGGTAGAATATCACACAAGTTCATCCTGAAATTTTTATCACTCATTCCAGCATTTGAATACCTCGAATCATGAGTTCCTTGCCTAAAGCTGTTTTCCCGACCCAGCCAATGCCACTGGGGATAATCGTACTCCGCTTCAACCACAGCCCATTCTTTATTACCATCATGGTGACTAGAAGATCTGGAAGCATGTGTTCTACAAGATGGACATTCGTCTACTGGTATTTCTTGAATTTCATCGACTTCGTTCCCACATTTTGTCATTTCACTAAAATCTTTTGTTAATGTTGAACTACTGCTCCGACAACACGTTGAACAATCTTCGTTGGAGAATTGGTTGCTGTCATCGAATGATCTAACCATACTATTATCGTAAGAGCCTGGACTTACAGCACATTTCATACAAGAGTCTTCTACGTCTGTATGATCCTGTAAAAAGGGTAACAATGGTGTCAAAACTTTTGTCATCAGACATACTTACCATTGACCGACTAATAATAACATACCTGGTAATTTAATTCAGTATATATAGCACAAGAAGCATATGGCTCTGGTGCGATTCTTTTCTGGTCTGCCTGCGGCATGGCCGTCATAGAACTAGGATGTTGTGGAAGACTATACTCAGCTTCCGTAGCCATAGTTCCAACGGAATGACCACCTATAAAGAAACCACGTTAGACTATCTTGAATTGAAAAAAATAATAATTAAATATTTTAAAAAATATATCTTAACTTTTTTTATCTTATAAGGCTCTAAATATTATAACAAAGACTCAGTTTGATCTTTTCTTACCGTGCAATAAACTTTGGTGGCAACTTAACACCTCTATTCGGGGTTCATTAGAACCTTCAAACGTTGGCCTTTCTCGCAGCCATACCGCTTCTTTTCCTAGTAAACATTGCTGTGCATTTGTTATTGCCGTTCCTGAAAACACAAACACTTTATGTCTTATATTGCCTAGCTAAATAAACAAACGTGTTAGTGTTCTGTAGACATTATTTCGTACTAGTAGATTTCTGACTCTTTCTTTGCTTTGACCGGCGTCGTCGAATAAACACAATCGTTCCCGCACCAACTAGAACTAGCACAAGCAAAATAGCGCTCAGCGCTAGCAACCAAGTTTCTTGGAACATTGACAATATTGCCTTGTCGGTTGCTGGTTCCGTTCTGAAACAAGAGGAAATATTTATAGCATTGGGTCTGCCAACTTTCTCAAGGACGATGACATTGTGTTATGACTTTAAAATACTACACTTTGCAACGAAACGAATATGCTTAATGTTTAACACTTACTGCACATAGTGTCTCTGAGTTTGTGTCGGCACCATGTGAATATGTGCTGGGGGACTGAAAGGTCCATGACCTCTATGAGTGACAGCTGCAGCCCGTGCACTGTACCGACCTCCAGTCCTCAAAGAACTAGCTGCGGCAGCACGTGTCTTGGCACCCAATGACATTTGACCGACTACACGACCTCCGTTGCCACCACCCACTCTAACCTCGATCTAAAACCAACAAGAAGAAATTGCAAGATCATATGCAAGTGATAAATGAACTCATGAAATGTAAAAAGGACTAACCAAGTAACCAGACAGCTCGCCATTCCAAGTATGCACGGGAGGCGGGTCCCAGCGAATCCAGGCCGACGTCGCATTTATCACTCCCGCTGAAACACTCTGAGGCGGCGCTGATGGAACTAAAGCACACGCGAAAACTTTATTCTTGATAAATTATGTTTTATTTAAGTACTAAAACTTAAGATCCAATGAAGTTGAAAATTAAAAAGTTTTCTCTTTATTCAAATCATACAAACTGCCGACAAAATATGCTTACCATCTTCTTCAGTAAGTCCAGTTTTCATATTTGATGGTTTTCCAAGTAGAAGTTTATAAAATGGCATCAAAAATACATCGTACTGGGCATACGGAATCAGTCCCGTTAGTATATGGCTTGACGACCCGCTATTATGTACAGTAGCCATCGTAAAATTTTCATGTTTAGAAAGTTCTGCTAAACTGTCAATGGAAGTATTTGAATACTGAGTGTTTTGTAGTTCTAATAAGTATGGTTTATTTATAGCTGTTCCGTTAAACCAAATTTTCACTCCTTCTAAGTACTCGTTGTAATCTGTTATAACCTAAAAATACCAATGAATTCATTTAGAATTTCAACAAATTTCAGGTTCGTTTTTTAAGTCTGACATTTGTGCTGATTACTTACATCCCAAACAATTTTTAGTGTAGTAGCGGAAATTCCTTCAACTCTCCTCAGAACTAAAACATCTTGTTGTAAATATCTTCTCGCTTGTACTAGCTCGTATTGTGTCATAGGCGGATGATTTTGAGGCTTACTCAATTCCGGGTAAGGTGAGGATGAGTCTAAATCTCCATTAAACGAATTGGCTTCTCGTCTTAACACCTAGAGAAATAAAACGAAATAGATCACATTAATTAAAAACCAAACTAGGTGCATGGCTGTGGTAGAAACATTAGCTTCAAAGGGAAAGCCTCACTTGTAAAGTGGCTGTATGAAAAGCGCTTCCCGCTGCGCTAACAGCAACACAAGTTAATCTCCCGGCGTGCTGCGTTGTTATCCTATCTATGTACAAAGATCCGTGATGACTTGTCTTTGGGAATACTAATTCCTGTGAAAGATGATACTTTTAATAAAATGATATAAAACGCACAAGATAACAATTCATGAAACGTTACGATACCTGAGAGCCTTCCATAGTCCAAAAGATTAATGGTTTCGGTGATCCTTCCGCTTCACATGGAAATGACACAGCTTCGCCTTCCCAAGCTGTTTGATCCGAAGGCATCCGTGTGAAATGTGGTAATGCTAAAAAAACGAAATTATAGAATCCACCAGTACCTCTACACCTTGTTCGACTTTGGAACAAATTAATAAAATAACACTTACAATGAACAGTTAGCGAAGCACTGGCAACACTTGTTCCAGCCTGACTTTCAGCCCGACAAGTGTAAAGTCCTGTGTCGGAAGATGTAACTTTATCTATTCTTAAAGAACCTCGTCGCACTATAGCATATGGTGAGAGGGACCCATTATCCCGAGACCACGATACTGAGACATCTGATTCTGGCGAAGCCTATAATATACAAATACGTTATAAGTGACGATTTTAAAATTCTTGAGAGGTATGATTTCATTAAAGTAAATTTACCTGACAATGAAACTCAATATTCTGTCCAAGCAAAGCGGTAATATTATTAGGTTTGACTAGAAAATGTGGTCTACGTAATACAAGTAGGGTGGCGGGACGTGACTGCCTTTCCCCTGCCACATTTGATGCCACACATCGGTAAACACCGCTATCTGACGGAAGAGTTTCTAGAATATTTAGGTTACCACCATCTACAACTGATATCCTGAAACAAGATACACCTTGAACTTGTTTTGTGATCAACTAAGCTTTTCTATTGATCAACGATATTATCTGTAGTACTACTTAAAGAAAATATGCAACGGCCTAATTATATTGATCAAATAAAATATATATATACAAATAAAAGTTACCTTTTACATCACTTGATTTACTTTGAAAAACTATTTCGTGATTTCTATCAGTAATTTGAAGCTGCTATTGATGTTGGATAACCCGGCAAAGGCGTATGGAATACATTAATTACTACTAACACATCATGGAGGAGATATTTCTTTGAATTATTTCATATTCATACCTTCCATTAACCTCCTCAACGTCCAGACTATGTCCATCCTTAGTCCAATGAACAGAAGGGTCAGGCACGCCCTTAGGCGGTAAGCATTCTAATGAGGCTGATTCACCACTCGCCACCTTTACGTCACGAGGTTCAGTTCTGAATTCATCGCGTAGAACTAAAAATAATGGTGCATTGTTATATTTAGCACTTGTTACTTTCTCATTAACACTTCTTACCTTTTTAATTAAAAAGGTAATAAGGATTTTTTGGCATAATTACCTAAGTACAAGTTAATAGTGCTATGTAAAAAAATAAGTATAATTACTTATTACCACACAATCATAGACGCACGGTATTACATTAAAGTACCTATTTAAAAGTCTTTTTGAGAGACTGCTAATTTAAAAAAGCTGTAATTATTTTTTGGCAAGATATATCTCTACTTACATTATCATTTTAACTTACCAGCAATAATAAGTGTAGCATTCTTGCTAACTGCATCTCCAACAGAATTTTTAGCGACGCACCAATAGACTCCTTCATCGCTCTCTTTTTTACCACGCATAACCCTAAGAAAAGAAAAATGATTTCAACTTTTTGTATGAAATGTTTACAAGAGTCGTTGAACTTGGGAGGGTTCTGATAATTTACGTACTTTATCAGAATTTTAAAACGTCACAACATGGATGAAATTTTGAATCAAGTTGCAACAACATAAAAGAGGGATAGAAATTGGTGCAACGGGCTGGTATCCGCAACTCGACGACAAAGCGCCTATTTTGCGTGTAATTATACTTTGAAATTAATGTATCTTCATAAAGGTGTTAGTACTTTTCTGACCGACTACCAAGTATTACGTCTGTAGTACTATTACAAGTACCTGTAGTTTGTTTTTTGAATGAACCGATAACGCGGTCTTTGTATGTTTTACTTTTGACAATATCAACCGCTCACGTTTAAGCGCTTACTATAAATAAAACAGTGTAAATATATCTTACCTAAGAAACAGCAAGCCATCTTCAAGCAATACTCTATGAGGATGATCCGTCGGAGCCAGCGGCAAGCCATCTTTGTACCACTGTATGCTCGGTTTTGGTTTCCCTTCGGCAACGCATCGCAGGGTCGCTGGTTCACTCCTTCCAACGATAGTGTCAGCTGGGTGTTCTTTGATACGCGGGGCACGACTTTGCGCTTCAGAAAATAAAATAACCTTATATTGCCAAAATTTCATCTTGATTGTTAAAGAAGTAGGCCGTAGAAGTAGAATATAAAATCCTTAGTCTCTGCCATCATCCCCACAAAAGAAAAGGGCTTAGTGACATATTATGTGATATTATTCCTAAAATCTTAAAATTCTTTGTGAAATTATGGATTTTTCATATATGTACGATAAATAATCATTTACTTCGATTAATATGTTTTAGAAAACTTTAGGTCAAGGAGATTATTTATCTTAATAATAATTGTTAATGTTGACCTGACAGTCACTGATAATCATTCTGCTACATCTGTTAAAAACCAATTAACAGATATTATGTACATTAAATTTGCTAAGGATGACCCAAAGATGTCAATAAAACAAGATAACTGGGAGTAAAATTAAATAGAAAAAGAAAGCAAACCCTTATCAAAAACAGCATTTCGACGAACTTATCTTTTAATCTTTCCAACCACTTACCTTTTGTATCTAAAGGCAATGTGAACAAAAGATGCAAAAGCACTATACTCTTGAACTGGTTCCATGCACGTTTATCTGTTTTAATTGGTCCCGCGACCATGCTTGACGCTACTGATTACCGTCACTTACAGCACGATGTTCACAACACATAGTTTAAATACTATTAATAATACAAATAAACCCAATTCAGCTGAAACTCTTTCCAAAATTGGCAAGAAACATAATGATATCGTCTATACAGACGTAACTAGAGATTTTTTTGTAACATCGCGATGTATACCGACGGAGGAGCGACACAACCTCCGTGTCCGATAGCTTTGGGGTTACTGCCCCCCCACTCTGTTTTGTCATTTCGCGCCGACTCAGTAAGTGCTTTCCTGAGCTTTTCCCTTGTTGGGGGATTTGCAAAAACTTCTTCAATGAATGCGTCCATTTTGAAATAGCCTTTTGTGTAGAGTTTTTTGCAGTTGAGAATTCCAATAAATTTATCATACTAAAGGCTTATAAAATATTATAGGTAGTAAAAACTTGAGTTATCGCTGGCATTTCAAGACAAGTTTGCTCATAACCCAATTGAATTTTTATTTATTGATACATGCATGTTTCTCATGCGTAGGTGTTTCAGAAATTTTGTTTGATTGCCTGTCGATTAATTTTTACCCTCTGCGACGATGTCTGCACTTACTAATATCCTTACTAATCCTTTCCAATATTAAACTTCTTTCAGATCAAAAATTACATTACAGTGCTAGGTAAGCATTTTCTTATTGTCATCATCATCTAGTAGTATTCCGTATTTATTTCATTATCATGTTTATAATTTAGAAAAACTTTACATTTGAAATGAAACTGTTTTTCCGGATTTAAATCGCGTATATTTGTTTTTTCAAACAGTCAACCGTGACCATGGGACCTGTAAAGGGCCCGAAACGTCGGTTTGTTTGAAAAAACAAATATACGCGATTTAAATCCGGAAAAACAGTATCATGTCCTATTTGAAATTCAATGCGTCACATGAAACCCAGAATCAAAACATTTTTATCCCGCAGGATTTCATTAAAACTTAGCGGATTAGTTGTATCCCATATAATTCAGCACACGTGTCTATCTGTACGTGTCAATTGGGGTTCGCCAGTATGCCGAGCACGTAACTAGTTACCTAACTGTTTTGCTGCGACAACATGGAGCTATCTTGATTAAAATCGATAGATATGTGATAATGCAAATTTTGGATATATGGAGGGAATGGTTAATGAAACAATTAATATGAATACCAACGCATACGTACTTTCAGTATGCAATACATTTCGAGTCATTAAAGCAGAAAGATAAATTCACAACGAAATGTAATAATTACAGATATTAATAATTTAGATTTGAAAACCTTTCGTTCCATCTGGAAACGAACATTCAGTATTTGTGTTTAAAAATTCTCAGGTTTACGTTTTTCGTTACTTTTCGTTACAACGTGCAACGTATACCCAAAGTTTAAAATCATCTTCATGACTCTTAAATTATATTTTACGATAAAGCATTATATATATTGCTCCAGATCGTTAGCCAAAATTGGTTAGCCCCATCCAGTTCCCGATTTTCAATAGGATCCCCTACCTCATGTAATCAACCTATCAGTTCCGTACAATGGAGGCTTCCTTCATTAACTCCATTCTGTTGAAATATTCATTAACTATACACAGTATCTCGTGATGTCGAGAGACAACTAAGCAAGAATACTGGATAACGTGCAGCCATTCAATTACCAGGGATCGTCTTGTGAATAATTTGTTTTGGGGAAAAGACTCTTCGTATGATTATGTTCGGAATTCTATTGAATTGGTCCCGTACATCTCGCAAATTGACATGCAATGCATATATTTTTTAAACCAAAACAGATCTATTTTACTATTAATTGGTAAATGTCATTGATTGGAAAGAAGCAGATGCTTTAAAGCAGTCTAGATACGGAAATGTAATAAGTAGATCTTGAAATTGCAGTAACGATAAACCATAAAGCGAGACATATATTTACTCCGTACTCCGTTGCATCCGCGGGGCGTCTTAGAATGCTACTGGATTCTGATCACGTCGCGACTCGGACTCCAGTGAAGGTGAGGCGGCGATACAGATCACCGACGCGTGCCTATTGCTTGTAGCTATTCAAGCGAAGAAGAAGAAATAAATTTTAAGCGAAAGTGCTGTAAAATTAGGAATTTTGATCTAGAAATGGGAATTAATGTGGAATAATAATGAAGGGCTTCCTGCTTGAAGTTACTATAAACTTCAGTGCAACGAAAGGAATTATTTGGAACACCAACTACAACAATGTTGAACGTTGTACGTTGAACGTTCCTTGCCTATTTAAGATAACATTTTTAATTTGATATGAAACATACTAATGTCCAGCTATTTCTGCACCACGTATTTCAATTCTATAGTCATAGGAGAAATAAAAAATGAGAACAAATGAAGCAAACACAGATACACACGTGTCGCGAGGCTGCGGCTGGCTGATAAACATAGCACAACAGTTGGGGGTAACTACAATCGATATTAATAGCAAAAGATTGCAGTTATAAAAACGAATAAATACTTCCATAGTAAACGTTTCAATTGGGTTTTAATAAATTAATAAAACTACGTAAACTGATGAGAAAAATGTTTCTCAGACTTGCATGTTCGATTAGGATTATAAATCTTAATTACCTGTTCAATATTTTTTATTAAATACAAGCAATATCCTACCTCTAGCAGCGGATATAAAATATCATAAAAAAGCCTCGACGAAATAACGAGATGCTAGTGAAATAAATCCTCATACTGAAGCCTGTATCGGGCGAACACCTCGAGGGGCACTAATTCAATCAATTGGCCGACCATAAATAAAGCAACGGACACTCGGACACTTTTGCGATACGACACAACTCTACGTAATTGAGAAGTCGAGACTTCTCCAGACCACTCTCGGCTTGAAGCGACAAATCAATTAACAGGGAAGGAGATAAAAAGGATGCATTAATAATGAATAGGACTTCGAAATAAATGAACCTCACTGATACAGCTGCAGGCATGCTGATGCAAATTCTTTGATAACGTTTAATTCAATATATTATTCAGAGTACACTTACTACTAGTTTTAAATTTCTTTATGTGCCTTTGTACAACAATAAATTTTGAGTTACTTATAAGATAAAAAAGATTGTAGAAACAAAAATAAAGCCCCTTCAATAAACAAACAGGAAATTAGACACCAGTGCCTAAAGGGGCTTGAAGCACTAATCCCTGTTTTTGTTACGAGTGTTTGCCAACAAATGGAAGTGACAGGCTGCTAGGAAATTAATCGTGAAAAATCTGAGGGTTAAACGGACTGGCGTTAAATCGGGCCACGTGCGCCGTCTATTAACCGTTGACACTATTGGGCTTAAGCCAAAGGGAGATCAAAGGCAGGATTTTGAAGGAAATTCATGCGACATTTTCTGAACAGCGTTAACGTGTTATACTACTACTAGAAAGCGACACCTGTTCAAGCTCTTGCCCCACCTCTTTGTGTACACTGAACACCCAAAGTTTTTGATCGCAATTTATTTCAAGAATCCCCGATAGAAGATACTGTTTCCGGGCCCTTGTCTTATGTATTAACAAATGTAACACTCTTCGAGAATAATGCTTGTTACGGAGACACTTGATTCTCGACATTTATCAGGGCGTACAATAACAAATTACGCCGGCAAGTCACATGCTGTTATCTGCAAACGATACGTCACCTCCATGGTTTTTTCTCTGTTGTGAGAAGGGCTATCGCGATCTTGTTGTTTTTTTTTTGAGGACGCATTGTTTAACACAGGATAAAAATTCGATGCGTATTGAAAGCCGAAACCTAAATTCGTACCATTGGTGCAATAAAGTCACATGTGATCATACGTCAAAAGTGATTTTATCACATGTCATGAAAGTCGTAAAAATAATACAAACTACATGAAACTAAATACGTATATGTCAAATTGTATACGCGCGTTTGTGCACTGCATCCCATTCGTATTCATTCCGAATCCGAAACTATGCAAATCTAGAAAACTCGGACCCACTTCGGATGTCGCTTGTGCACTAGTCCGATTGAAATGCGAATATCGCTTGTGCACCTTGAGATAAAATGATCCTTGTGACATTTCGGACCGTGATTTCTC